CCAATGACAGGATTCCAATCTTTGACTATATACCTCTGGACTGCTAGTTACCCCCACTTTTCCTACCTTTTCCATAAGATAGAAAGAGAGGACCGTGTATCCAAGATCTCAACTTCCGGATCTGATGGCCCTGAGATCTTGGATTCCAGTAATGGTTGCCGTTAGCAGTCCAGAGGTATATAGTCAAAGATTCCAATAATACGAAGCAAAATTCAGCGGAATTCTGTTTTCTGATTGGTTGCAGAGCGTTGTACGACGAAAATCGAATGCAGTGTGAATCCAGCATATCTCAAATCAGCGCCCGGACGTAGCCGAGAATCCATTTTGACTATTAATTTAATTGCTGGTTAATTTAATCGGCAGAATTACTTAAAGCACAGAATAAATACGGCTGGCTAAAAGCAAATTTTTATTTCTGTCAGTTAAATCCGAGGATAATTGAAAAATGATGACATTACTGATCGTTCGGCTGTATCGATCGATAACGTCATTGTTCTTCAATTATCTCCCCGGGCCCACTTGACAGTTACATGAAAATCTACCTTTGGCCGGTCATCTTTAACCGTAAAACACTTATTTAATTATAATAATTTTATAATTATAAATAATTATATAATTATATAATGTAATTATCATGGTTTCAAAAATTAAATTTTTTATTAAAAATATTTAAATATTTTAAGCAAACAATATAAAAAAATCTTAAAAAAAGGACAGACCGACTGGTTGCATGATACTCAAATTTGATTGGTGCACTACTGCAAGTTTGCCTTTAGGTCCATCAATTCGACGAATCACAACGTGCGATCATGCCTATGGTGTTGCACTTTTCTTCATGTTCGTTAATCTAAGAACATAAGAAAAAAAATTAAACTTGATATCTATGCTCCTGTGGATGCCGTGTGTCGATGTGTTTGATCTGTGTTTTCAAGGAAACGTAAACAAACGTGCGAGAGGAGAAAAGATTTATGAAAGCTTGTAAACGCGAGTGGATGAATTATTCCTGTTGCCAGGTACGACTTTGAGAGCCCATAATTTCCGAGATTGCCCGAAAGTGTTATATTTCAATAATGCATGAAGCGTTGTCGACATTGTCCATTTTATATCGGCTGCAGCGAATATTTTATCGGTTTGCTAATTTTTATAAATTCGGCATTTAAAATATTAAGAGGAAAATAGAATCTAGATAAGCTTGGTGAATGAATTATACTAGTGAAAGCTTCGTTAAGTGTTTCGTAGAATTACTAATTATCCTGTCAATTATCCTACAGCAATGTACAGTCTTTAGCTTTTTGCTCTAAGCTCTAAACATTGATTTTTTTCGACAAAAATCGTTGCCTGAAATGTAATCTTAAGTTTCAAGCAAACTTAGGTCATAGCTGTACAATTTAGAACTTGGAGCAAGTTATCGTAACAGCCTAGAGTTTAAGGCTTACTACATCTGTTGTAGACTGGGTCTTATTCATCAAGTACATTTTTTGTTTCTACGTAATTGTATAATAATCCTCAATGCATTAGTCGTCTTATATTTCTGTAAATATCTATTCGATCTATTGTTATTAATTGCAGTGAAATTAGCCTCCAAAATGGCATTACGCACTTACGGAGATAAACCTATAAGTTTTCAAGTGGAAGAAAATGGAGAGTATTACTGTATTGGGTCAGAAGTTGGCAATTACCTGCGTCTCTTTCGCGGATCTTTGTATAAGAGATATCCTGGCATGTTCAGGAGATCCATAACCAATGACGAACGTAAAAAATTAGTGGAACTTGGGCTGAGTCAGCACGTTCTTGCATCTAGCGTTTCATTATTGAGAGCTAGCGAGGTAGAAGATATTATCGAGGGCAACGATGATAAGTATAAAGCTGTATCTGTGCATTCAACTGAACCACCAGCACCTAGAGAGGGTAAATCTAAGAAGTCGATGGCATGGGTACCTAGCCTACCAAATAGTTCACATCTGGATGCAGTTCCTCAAGCCACACCAATAAATCGAAACAGAGTGCACAATAAAAAAGTTAGGACGTTCCCGTTATGGTAAGCAAGAAAACAGTGAAATTCTATACGAAATTCTGTTGTGTAATAAAATTATGACTCATGTTTTATTTCCAATTTAGTTTTGATGATACAGATCCATCGGCAAACTTGGAGAACGCGGCACAACAGGAAATGCTGGTTCCAATACGTTTAGACATGGAAATTGAAGGTCAAAAATTAAGAGACACTTTTACTTGGAATAAAAATGGTATGTATTTTTGTATCCAATAATGAAAATTTTGATAAATTGCAACAACGGTTTAATGCATCTTGTATCTTTCACAGAAAGTCTTATAACACCCGAACAGTTTGCCGAAGTACTATGTGATGATTTAGACTTAAATCCATTAACTTTCGTTCCTGCAATTGCACAGGCAATAAGACAGCAAATAGAAGCATTCCCTCAGGAGACAATTTTAGAAGATCAATGCGATCAGAGAGTGATAATTAAATTAAATATACATGTGGGTAATACTTCTCTCGTAGATCAAGTAGAATGGGATATGTCTGAGAAGGAAAATAATCCAGAGAAGTTTGCGATGAAGCTTTGCGCGGAACTTGGTCTCGGCGGTGAATTTGTCACCGCTATCGCATACAGGTAAAATATTTTTTTCTTATCCTACAACTACATAATTGTACCTTTGCTTCATGCAAAATGATATCATTTTTGTTACTGAAATTATTAGAGTAGAATTTATTACAAAAACAAAGTTGATAATTTAAATATTGATATATTAATTATTTTGGATACTGAAAATGTGAGTATTTGATAATAAAAAATTATTATAAACTAATAAATATTTAATAAATTGATGTTATATATTTAATTGATATTGATTATTACTGTAGTAATATGATTACATTTATTGACAGTGTACGCGGGCAATTATCATGGCATCAAAGAACGTATGCATTTTCTGAAGCACCTCTACCGACTGTAGAAGTTCCTTTTAGACCTCCATCAGAGGCTGATCAATGGGCACCATTTTTAGAAACCTTAACAGACGCAGAGATGGAAAAGAAGATACGCGATCAAGATCGAAATACTCGGTAAGATGTGAATTTTGTAGAAGTATAAGTTAACTTTATCGCAAAGATACAGGCATTTAATTGATCGTTCTTTCCTTCTTCCAGACGTATGCGACGTTTAGCAAACACGACACCTGGTTGGTAGAAAAAGCACATCTAGATCTAGAAAAAGAACACTCCATACCCACATCTACATTTCTCAACCAATCTATCATCCTTATTTTTAGTATCCCCTCATATAAGATTTATAAGTAACGATATAATTTTTATTAAGACATCATCGTAGAATATAAAATATGCGGAAGTAACTATCTGTAAAAATAACGAATATATGGTTGCGTTTATTTAAAAAAGAATGTAATTGTATAATCAGACATCATTGTTTGTGAAACATTCTTATATACAAGATATTCCAGATATAACGAGTCTTCAATTTAGAATCTATTTTTTTCCATTTTTATATAACTAAAAAATATTTTTTTTCCAATTTCATTTATTATAACGGTCAATTTATTATTGTGTGAAAAAAAACTTTTATATCGTACGTGCACATTGTGTAATTAAAAATGTACGTACATATCATATAACACTTCAAGCAAAGTGTAATGACAGCTGACTGTGATGCAACCTGAACAGTAAAAAATATAATTAAAATTGTTTTAAGAAAATTATACACTATATCAAATATATCTTTAATAATTTATTTGAAATCTGTCGGAATATACATTACAAAATCTATTATATTGTTGCAATTATCTGTTTTAGTCAGCAATCGTACGACGAGATAACAGATCAGGTGATTATACTCAGTCATGATAAATGACTATCGCAAAGCACATGTCTTGGAAATTATTTAACATTTTGGCATCTTGTTACTCACGCGGATCAACATCTCATTATACTACCTGAATGGATTGAATGCAAAAGGAAATCTTGAAGGAAAAGACAGTTATGCTTCGAAATTTATGATCTTTGGCGAATGTATTGGAATGTATAAATTAGTTACTTTACTTTAACTTCATTATATCTCTTTTTCTACTTGTGTAAAATGTAAACGTAATACAATGCTCTACTCTCTGAAGAATTTAGATGAAGATAATCGATTCCATGACGGAAGCACTCCTGTATTTAGTCCTGGGCTCCTATTCTGTAACTTTTAACGACAATGTTGATATCGTTATGTGTCGTTGCGCAGCTTTTTCACCATATAAAATATCTGCGCAACGACACTGTCGTTAAGAGTAACAGAATAGAGCAGCTGGACTACGAAATCGTCGATGGTAGAACCGCAACAGGCATAATTGGTGCCCTCGTCAAAATGTTTTTTTGTGGCAATTCCAACTTTTACTCGCTTTCTTATTTTAAAAATATAATTTAACACCTAATTCTTTTTTCATATACATAGATACATACTTGATTAAATGAAGCGTTTTAAGTTATTTTAAAGCAGGTTGATCATTGTACTGACAGTGACTATCGATGAACGATTGCCTTTTCGACTTCGAAGTCCTCGTTACGGTCCTGTGACAATCTATATATACATACACATAAATTTGATTTTTATTTAAAGAAATGGATGCCATCACAATTCCTCGCAACTTTTATCTGAAATATTCTTTAGATCCAAATTTTCGGAGTTGATTTTTTCGAAGGAATATATGTAGAATATATAATATTACGAAATATTCTAGACAACATTAACATATAATAATTCATAATATTATACACATATAGAGAAACAAACTATTTCTGTAAATTCTCGTGGAAAATATCGACATTCAGCAAATTGTAATCTGAGGTCTGTTCCTATGTTTTCTATATTTTGTTTCATGTTTCCTGTTCAAAGCATAACTATTTATTTTATCTCATTTTAAATACAGAGAGAAAGAAAGAGAAGGGGGGTAGAGGAAAGAAAGGAGAGAGTGCAGGCAAGCGCAGTTAATTCAACAAAGCCCTCCAGTCTCCAGTACCGTCCTGTATGTGTGTGCACATATACTGTGATACTTCCATACGTAATGAGCCTCGGCAAAATAAGGCAAGGCAAGACAAGGTGAAGCAACGTCAAATGAGGCAACGTCGTCCGTCGTTTGCGGAAGGGGAAAAATATGGGGGAGACCAGTGTGTTACGCGCTCATCACGCACATGAGTGTCAATCGACAGTCCAGCTTCGGCAGTGTCCAGCGGCGTAGGTGGATGAGCGGCGGCAGCGCTTGGAGCACGTTCACAGCTTTGGTGCGCCAAGCATGGATCTGACGAGACAGCAACAACAGCGATCGTTGGCGAGCGCGTGCCACGGCCCGTTGCCGTTTCCACGCAGACCATGGATGAGCGAGACTGGCGTCGCTGCCGCCGCCGCTGCCTCCGGCAACCTGGGTCTCAAAGGGGTCATAGCCGGTACGTTGTTCCTTTCCTTCCTACCCTCCTCTCTCTCTCTCTCTCTCTCTCTCTCTCTCTCTCTTCGAGAGAGAGAGAGAGAGAGAGTGTTCGTTCTCACTCGCGCGATCGCTCATGACCTGCCGACCTTTGACACCTGTCTGGGTGCACCACGAGAGCCTTCTCTCTCTCTCTCTCTTTTTTTTTTTTTCTTAAGTTAGTGCACTTTGGCAAATCGTATGATAATATGAAAGATCGCGCGATCGCGATCACGTTTGCCTACGTATGTGTGGCTATATCTACGTTCTTTGCAAGGTCATCATGTTTATCTGAATTTCCATGGTAATGGAGACTCCGAATTACGGTCACTTTCCGCAATGATTTTTAGCTCTATGTAAATGTTTAAGAAATCGATGATTGTAGAGGTATAAGTTTAGAATTTAATTAAGAAAATAATTAAATTCTATCCGTTTAATTAGAAAATAAAAATGCAAATTATGTTGTAATAGCAATTATTTTTTATACTTAATTTCTATTTCATTGAAATTACATAATCTTTTACTTTTATTTTTTAATTGCATTTTAATTTTGTGGACTATTTAAATTCAATCTCCTCAACCAGACTTTATTAACAATCGTTAACAGCTATTTAATATATACAGATACATACATACATTTATAATTACATACATATATTATTTCTATTTATAAATACTTGAGGATATAATTAACTTCCAGGTGGTATTACTGGAGGCATAGAAATTTGTATCACATATCCCACCGAATATGTTAAAACGCAGTTGCAATTGGACGGAAAAGCCGGTGCTGGTAAAGAATATACAGGAATAGTTGACTGTGTCACCAAGACCATCAAGACTCGCGGATTCTTTGGTTTATACAGAGGCTTGTCTGTTCTGCTTTATGGTTCTATACCAAAGTCGGCAGTACGATTTGGCGCTTTTGAGTCGGTGAAAAAGCAATTGATGGATGCGGATGGAAAGCTTAATCCACAAAGGAGGCTCTTCGCCGGCCTTTGCGCTGGTGTGTGCGAAGCGATTTTCGCGGTTACTCCGATGGAAACGATTAAGGTGAAATTCATCAACGACCAGCGTTCGGTAAATCCAAGATTTAGAGGATTTGCTCATGGAGTTGGCATGATTGTGAAGGAACACGGTAAGAAAATTTAAGTTTAAATATAAAAAAAGTTCCAGTTTCTTAAGCTTTAATATACTATAGATTTTTATTTCATTTCTTATTAATTCATGTTTTTGTAAATTAAAAATGGAATATGTTTGAATTATGATCGAATGTAACGTGAAAAGAAAAGAGAAATATAGAACTATACAGTAATTAAAATAAGTACAATTTAATCGTAAAATCCAGTTAAGAATCATAACTTATTTAATTGGGTTAGAGATTGCAACATGTGTTTAAACATATAGTTGATCTTACAATATGTACATACATTATGACATAGAATGAATTTGCACGTTAAATGATGATTGTATAAGGATAGCATATAAAAAATTAAAAGAATATATAAAATTGATACATATTAAGTTATACAGAAAACTAGAATTTAAAATATTGTATATGTATTATTGTAGATAATAGTAATTACGGCTTAGACAGACGAACGACTTTATGACGCGATAAACAAGTGTCAACTAATTCACACACATATTTCATGCTTTTATGTTAAGTACGCTTAACAAATAAGTTGACGCTTGTTTATTGCGTCATAAAGTCACTGTTTAAACCTTTATATGTATGACACTCTTTTGTGTCTTTAAATAATTTTATATGCTAAAATTATTTTAAATATTAATATAATGCAATTATATTTATAATACTAATTATAATATTAACAATATATATTTTTTTAAATGTAGGCTTTAAAGGAGTGTATCAAGGAGTAGTACCAACAATCTTGAAACAAGGATCCAATCAAGCCATTCGTTTCTTCGTGATGGAAACATTAAAAGACTGGTACAAAGGAGGTGACAATACTAAAAGTGTTCCTAAAGTAGTCGTCGGTGCATTTGGCGCAGTTGCTGGCGCAGCATCGGTTTTTGGAAACACGCCTATTGACGTTATAAAAACTAGGATGCAGGTATGTGTATATAATGTATCTCACATATTTGTAATTTATATTAAAATGTATTACTCTGTTAATTGATCTATGTTCATCATAATGTGTCATTAAACTTCATTGTTCTGAATCTCTTTTCTGTTTTTAGGGATTGGAAGCTTCAAAGTATAAGAGCAGTATGGATTGCGTGATTCAGGTGTGGAAGAAAGAGGGTCCAATGGCATTTTATAAAGGAACCATTCCACGATTGGGCAGAGTCTGTTTAGATGTTGCAATAACATTCATGATATATGATTCCTTCATGGAACTTTTTAACAAAGTATGGCCTTAGGTCTGTCGCATTTTGTATATATACGATACATTCTCTCAGATTTTACAAATATTGCTTTTATGTTGACGTACTTTAAAAGCGTATTTGTGTAAAACATATTTTTTAGATTAGAGTTTTTATTTATATTTTTATTTAAGATATATGCGATGAGAATGTTATTTGATGGTAATGTTTATAACAGCCACATATCGAAAATCACAATGAAGCAAACGTGTGGCGAATGCATCTCTTTCACACAAATTGATTTTATTTATGAGGTTATGAGCTTTTATTTTACATGATATGATTGTGTGATATTACTACCTCCGGTTCTAATTGCATTTATATGTGCAATGCACAAAAATTTCCAATTAACTACGGAAATTATAAGCCTGTTTTTTTTAACTGAACTTTTTGCACGATTCGTCTTTTCTCTTTTTCTGGAAAGAAAAGGTAGAAAGATGAACCGTGCAAGAACTTTAGCTAAAAAGAACAGATCTATTATATTTTGTTGAATTCATGTGAATTACTTCATTTAGAGAGTTATAGAACAACATTCTGCAATTACGTTACATTCCTACAATCTCAGTCCAAGATACAAGAGTATTGTTTTTATGAACTGTTAAAGTGTGAGAAAATAGTCCATGTATAATAGATGTGTAAGCCGTAATATACATATGCCAATACGTAGATATATGTATTTATACATACAGAATATATTTATGTACAGAGAGACACAGCATTAATTCATAAAACAAGGAAAATTTTTCAACGATTTTAATTTTAAGTAATTTCTCGTATACAAAAATTTACATTGATGTTGCAGAGTAAATATAGAAGGATGTATGTTAATAAAAAAATATTAATAAAAAAATAAGCTAATTTGTATTCAATCTTCTTTAATGTACAATCTCTTCTGCTAGTGAAATATAAAAATAGCACACTTCGTATTTTTATTTAGCAATCTAATTTCATAGATTTTCCGTGCGGTTCAATATCTTTAGCTTGTTCTCAATAACGCAGCTTTTTTTTAGTCTTAACTGCTATTATAACTCTAAAAATAATCTGGAAACTCTATCGTCGCGTTGTTTGGACGATTCTTTAAAATCCTCAGTTGGCTTTCCATCTATATTCGATGTTTAAAAAACAATAATAAATACAAAAATATTGATTGTGTTCGACACGTGGAGGATCAAAGGTAACATTAAGGTCTTCACGAACTATTTAAAAAAATTGAGTTTTTATTATCGATGGATAATAAAAATTTTTTTTTAATAGTTCGTTCATCAACGTCGATATGACTTTCCCTTTCATCGCATAAATAAAGATCTTCCGTCATTTACTTTCTCCAAGAGATTCTCTTCGATTTACAAGATAATTAATTAACAAATCTATATGGGATTTGCAAAGCGAGATGAAGACGATCCCTCTTTGATACTCGAGGCGCGAAAGCGGCTGCTGTTGCAAAGCGGTGCATCGAGATCCCCGTCGCGGGCCCCGTATTTTCGCGCGCGTGGCGAACGTTTCCACGTGTATATGTATATATTTATATACATGTATGCGTGCACGCGCGCTCATTTTACACGCTCGTATGCTGATGATAGTGTTGCAAAACGAGCGGGGCAACACACAGCCGGGGCCCCATCGTGGGCCCGACGGGACGGAGGAGGAGGAGGAGGAGGAGAAGAGCGCATAGAAGAAGCAAACAGCACCGGGCAGGCGGTAGGCAGCAGTGCCGGCCCCGCTCTGGGCCCGACGGGGGAACCCGGGGTCACATTCCAAGATGGCTGTGCCTGAGGAATGCAGTGGGTGCCCCCCTAAGACGCCTGCCTCCCTCCTTTTTTATTAATCGGTCCCATTTGCCCGTTCTAGCGAAAAGAAACCCCCTTATTACCGCTCGCGCGCGGTGAAACAATGTAACGCGCGTACACGCAGAGAGTTTAGTTTGCGAGCGAACGTCGAGGGAGAACGTGCCGAGGTAAGTCCCGTCGTGAGAGAGCGAGAGGGACGAAGAGAGATAGTGGAGTCGCACGTTCAATCCGGGGCCTGATCTTCATGCCAGCACGCTGCAGATGATGCCCATGCCAGAGAATGCTACTAGCTCGTCTTAAGCAATGTCTCATAGGGATATCTCTGAGGTAATTATGAAATTCCTGTTGTTACTTTGGGTCCAATCCTGAATTAGGATCTGGCTCTCGCTTAAGTATTACTCTTGTTGCTTGTTTTGATCGGTCTCCTTTAATTACCTAAGTATTTATTAATTTATTCATGTATTTTATTTTGATACTAATTCATATTAGTCTTATTCCCTGTCTCTCATTGCAGAAGAAATAGTTTATACATGTTAATCATTTATAATTATTAAGATAAAAAAATATTTGATAGTATCTGCTTTATTTTTAACTCTATTTGGAACCTCATACAAAATTATATTTTACTTTTTTAAATATAATCTTATTAATTGTAATACTAATTGATGTTATTTTTTAATTATCATTGATTTTATCATGCATTTAAGAGTGAAAATAATAAATATGTTTATAGTGATCGTTTATAGTTTCATGAATCTTTAGAAATATGTGGTTCCTTATTTTAATTTATATAAGTTTAGTTATTATTGATAAAAGCAGGAAATATTTGCTCAAAAATAAGATCGTGTCAATTTGATGAAGGTGGAGCCCGAAGGTACGTCGGCCTTGGCCGCTGGATCCAGGGCACTATTCTTAGAAACGGTACGCAGGAGTAATACAGCGTGCCAGAATGGAGATTACGCACTGGCCGCGACATTGTACACGGAAGCCCTTGCCTTGGACCCCCTCAGTCATGTGTTATATTCAAATAGATCGGCCGCCAGGCTAAAAATGGGATTATTCGCGCTTGCATTGCAGGATGCTGTCAGAGCTACCGAGCTGAGTCCGCAGTGGCCAAAGGTATGCATTCTTACCCATATTCTTCCGTACATCTCCAATTTCGGATCTATAATAATCGGTTTTCAGGCATACTATCGACAAGGAGTAGCGCTGCAATGCTTAGGACGTCACGGAGAGGCACTCGTTGCCTTCAGCACGGGATTAGCTCACGACGCATCCAATCATCAATTGTTATCGGGCTTGGTAGAGGCTTCTCTGAAGTCTCCACTACGACCGACTTTGGAGCCGACGTTCCAACAATTACGCGCGATGAAACTCGACGAGTCTCCATTCGTCGTCATATCTGTGGTTGGTCAAGAGCTGCTGGGAGCTGGACAATACAGGGCGGCCGCTGGCGTGCTGGAGGCCGCGCTCACCATCGGTTCGTGCAGCTTGAAATTGAGGGGCTCTGTATTCTCTGCTCTGTCCAGCGCGTACTGGGCACTAAACTCTCTGGACAAGGCAATCAACTACATGCAACAGGATTTAGGTAAGTGAGAGATATATAAATTCTTTTCGAGCGGAAAGTTTTGCGTTAATTTCTTTTCAATTCAATTTGTAATTTGTGAATTTAGCGTCAAGCAATGTACTGACTGATTAAAACTTTCAGGAGTGGCGCGTTCCCTGGGGGACACGCAGGGCGAGTGCAGAGCCCATGGGAATTTAGGCTCTGCTTATTTCAGCAAAGGTAGCTTCAAAGAGGCTCTAACGGCTCATAGGTATCAACTTGTTCTAGCTATGAAATGCAAAGATACGCAGGCAGCGGCTTCGGCCTTGACCAGTCTGGGTCACGTCTACACGGCGATCGGTGATTTGCCGAACGCCCTGGCTTCTCATAAACAGTGCGTGCAATTGGTAAAGCAGATGGGGGATCGACTGCAAGAGGCCCGCGAGATCGGTAACGTCGGAGCGGTCTATTTGGCGATGGGGGAATTTGAAAGTGCTGTCGACTGTCACACGCAACATTTGAGGATAGCTAGACGGCTGGGTGATCGCGTGGAAGAGGCGAGGGCTTTCAGTAATTTGGGATCGTCTCATCATTATCGTAGAAATTTCGGGCAGGCGATGGCTTATCACGAAAACGTTTTGAGAATAGCTCAGGAACTCGGAGACAGAGCGATAGAGACCAGAGCGTATGCGGGATTAGGTCATGCCGCCAGATGTGCAGGTGATGATTATTATTGAAAAGTATATTAACATATTTCTATTTCTAACTTTCCTTTATATTAACAAAATTTCATTAAAATATCTAGGTGATTTGGCGCAAGCCAAGCTCTGGCATCAAAGACAGCTCGATGTTGCGTTGGTCACGAAAGACAAGGTAGCCGAGGGACGAGCTTGCAGTAATCTAGGCATAGTTTATCAACTGCTCGGCGAGCACGATGCCGCCTTAAAATTACATCAGGCACACTTGGGAATCGCAAGATCATTAGGAGACAAGGCCGGTATGGGTAGAGCGTACGGAAACATTGGCAATGCTTATAACGCCTTGGGTTATTACGAACAAGCCATCAAATATCACAAACAGGAATTAACGATAAGCAAAGAGGTAGGCTTCCCAAGATAAGTATATCATTATTATGAAATTCTTTGTTAACGAAAAATCTGTTGTTCAGGTAAACGATCGTAGCTCAGAAGCCAGTACACACGGAAATTTGGCGGTCGCGTATCAGGCAGTGCAAGGTCACGAAGCGGCATTGAGACATTACAGAGCTCATTTAGCTATAGCGCGCGAACTGAAAGACACAGCTGGCGAGGCGTGTGCCCTACTAAATCTCGCCAATTGTCTTTCTTCACGCGGCAGATTTGAAGAGGCGGTGCCATATTACGAACATTATCTAATGCTGTCGCAAGAATTGCACGACGTTGAGGGAGAAGCTAAAGCGTGCCATTTCCTAGGATATGCTCACTACTGCCTGGGAAATCATAGAGAGGCAGTTAGATATTATGATCAAGATTTAGCACTAGCAAAGGACTTGCAAGATAAATCTGGAATGGGTAGAGCTTACTGCAATTTGGGATTAGCTCACTTGGCACTGGAAAATCTGGACACCGCTTTGGAATGCCAAAAATATTATTTGGGTAACATTTTCTTTTACATAGCTTTAAAATACATAAATATATTATGAACATTTTATAATTATATATTAATACATTAAAAGTAGGAAAATAGATACACAAAAAATGAAATATATAATGATAAAAAATACATTGTATCTTAATTATTTAATTTAGCAATCGCGCATATGACCAAACATCTGGCTGGCAAGTTTCGCGCTCTGGGAAATATTGGCGATTGTTTGTTGCGCATGGGAGAGGTTGACGAAGCTATCAAGATGCATCAACGTCAGTTGAATTTGGCACGTCAAGCTGCCGATCGTTGCCTGGAAGCTGCTGCCTACGGTGCATTGGGAATTGCTCATCGAGCTACGAAGAACTTGGACAAGGCTCTCGGTTTTCACACGCAGGAATTAACTCTGAGACAAGAAGCCGGTGACTTGCGCGGCGAGTGCAGGGCACATGGAAATCTGGG